CGACCCCTTTAGGAAAAGCAATACAACTCAGAGAAAAATTGTATGCTGTGAAAAGCCGCGCACGGCAACGCAGGCGCACGCGTACACACACGCCCGTGGCCCTCAGGTCCAGCTCTGCGATCCCAGTGCCTGTAACAGCCAGCCAGCCAAATGGAACGGGGCAGGAGACCAAGCAGGGCGGGACTCGCGAGACTTCCGGCGCCTACTGGCGCCCCGGATGAGCTAATTCCGGCAAGCACGCGGTGACCAATCAATGCCCAGAACGCTTCCGGAAGCCGTACCCCCCAACTGGCAGCCTATCTCGCTGGGTAGCCGTCCCCTCTTGGTTGTAACCCTGTAGAAACGAAGGGGTGGAGTTGGGAAAGAGACGAAGAAAGTTGCAGCTTAATACCGGTGTCCACTCAGACTCGAATGACACGGGAAGACGGAATGGAGCGAATGGGGATGGACCCATGGCGCCACGAGTGCCTCCGCTGGTAACTGTGGTCGATGCCCGACGCGGTGTAAAGGGTCTCTCTGTGTTGTCACACGCCCTCTCCCAATGGTACCTTCCAGAGCGGATGGTCTTACCTCTACCCCTCAATGGTACATCCCAGGACAGAAGTGTTTCATCTCGCACGCCCCTTGGTGGTGAGACTGAGAAACAGCCGATCTAGTTGCCGGTGGACCTTGAAGAGGATGATCCTCCAAGGGTGGAAAGGCAAAGTTAGGATGAAAACCCCAGCGATTGCTGCTATCTTGGACCCAGAAAAAAGTCTTCGTAAACTGAAGATTACTTCTCTGTAGTGGCCACTATCGTAACAGGAAGCATTGAAAACATTTTCTCTTTGCTTGTTTGTGTTTTCCTGTTTAGTACAGAATCGGTTTCATCGGGAAAGCCAGCCACAGTCCCCCCAGGGGCAGGAGAGAGAAAGCTTCCGACTGGGATCTGAAGGCCTGGCATGGTGAAGGCCTCTGTCGTTGACTGCGAGTAATACTGAAAAGGACAACAGGACATTCCATTCTGTTAGGAAAGGGGTCATCTCCAAGGGGACCCAAGGATACCGTGTAGATGAGATAAGGACCACAGCTTTATCACCATCTTGTCATCCCTGAATATGTTCCCTAGCAGAATCCTCAGCCTGTCTAGCTATGCCTCTCTCAACAAGTTCAAATTTGTTTATTCATTCCATCATTCATTCTCTCCACAGTTTGTATGAAGCACAACTATGTGTGTTAGGAAAGAGAAAATCAACTTCGGCTTCATGAAACTTATATTGTGTTGGGGTCATACAGCCCCAATAGATAAGTAATTTTCAGGTGTTCATAACTGCTGTGATTAACATTAAACCGGGATAGTGAAGTAGAGAGAGGGGATGATATCTAGAAAGAGTGGTCAGGGAAGTTCTTTCTAAGATTGTGACATTTGAGTAACAGCCTAGAGGATATGCCTATCTGGAAGAAAATTATCCCAGACAGAGTTAAGGCCAGTTGAAAACTTGGGGCATGGAACTCAGTGTGCTGCTGCTGCTGCTAAATCGCTTCAGTCGTATCCGACTCTGTTCAGCCCCATAGATGGCAGCCTACCAGGCCCCTCTGTCCCTGGGATTCTCCAGGCAAGAATTCTGGAGTCGGTTACCATTTCCTTCTCCAATGCATGCATGCATGCTAAGTCACTTCAGTCATGCTCAACTCTGTGCGACCCCATGGATAGCAGCCCACCAGGCTCCTCTGTCCACTGGATTCTCTAGGCAAGAATACTGGAGTGGGTTGCCATTTCCATCTCCAGGAACTCAGTGTAGTGTGTATGAAAATAGTGAGGAGGCCTATGTGACTGTCACAGCATGATGGAGGGAGAGCCAGGAGATCCAATGAGGGTCAGGTCCCATAGGGCTTTCTGGCCATAGGGAGGACTTTGACTTGAGCCACAGGAGGTTTCCTACCAGAGGAACCCCTAGGCTTCTCTCAGAGACCCAGATCACAGAATGATTTTTGAGGAGCTCCTGATTTACCCCAGGAAAACCACAGGCCATCTGCAATTGAACATGCCTTTCCTGGAATCCCCTACACTCAAGGAGAATCCCCCCTACTACTCCCAGTGAACATCCATGTCAATTGAAGATACCCTCAGGAGAGACAAAGCCAAGGACCCTCTTGGTGTGAGTGAGGTCACATTGAGTCTTGCAAAGGCAAAGAGGGATGATATAATAGGCACAGAGATGGCAGGGAGAAAGACAAAGACAGAGCATTAGACAGGGACAGAGAGACTATTTCTGGCAGCAAACTGTCCCCACTTAGTTAGCACTCACCTACAGGCCCCCAGCCCTGCTACTGGATGATGTACAGTACATTTTCTCTATAGGAGAATAAAAGCCCCTCCCCAGGGACTGTCTCTAGGGAATGACTTAGTTGCCCATGGCCTAGGCCTTAATCATGTTCCCTTAACACACATCTGGGGCCTCTGCCTATCATGATAAGGACATGTACCAGTCCTGGTGAGGCTCATCTGTATATAGGGTCCCTCACAACTTGTCCAGCCCAGCCTTCCCTCAGTGCCAATGACTGCTTTAATGGGGGAAGAGAGGCATGGATCTCTTCATTTGTGGTGGCGCCTTGTGCAAATTGGCAAATGTGAGGTTTCTCCCCACCTACTTGGAGGCTCACCTCTGTGACTTTCAGCACCACCTCTCCAGGGAATATTAAGATTACATTCCATACATCAGGTAAGAAGTTGGATGTGTGATGGGGAGACACAGAGACATATCCTGACAGTGAGTCAGTCACAGGGTCCTTGTGGCCCTGTGTAAACTTCCCCCTACCCTCTACCTGACCAGGGTCATGCTGAGTCTTCCCTGCCTCTGCCAAGGAGCCCAAGCTTACATCTGGTTCCTCCCGTCATGATCTGAGACCTTCCATCTGCACCAGGCCTTGGGCTCCCTTCTGTAAACGCTGCCCTCCTTGTTGTGGGTTGGGCAGATTCACTGAATAAATGTGTGTACACAGTTTTTGTCACAGGACCCCTATCATGGGTGGTACTCATGTCAGCAAGTATTGTTCTTTTTTTTTTTCACAATCTCTCAAGAGCAATACATTTAATACATTCATAAGATTTAAATGAGTACATACATGCTACAGGTTTTCAATTTTCTTTGGACAACACAAAAACACAGTACTCAAATTGTAAGTTTTAACAGGAACATTTTGACACAATGGCAGGATAAAAAAATAATAAAACCAACATTGAACTAATCCAGCACCAATAGACTTCCTTAAATCTCTCATACTATCCTACTTTCGAAATCATACGGCTGCCTTCTCTACCAGCATATTTTCTTCTCCACCCAACAATTCAACAACAAAAATTAGATAAAAAATTAGAAGTGTGTCACTGAATGAATAACACAACAGATTTTTTTTAAAAAGCCCCTTATTTGTTGAATGTTGAAAGAGGAGAATATGATTAGGTGGAAATACTGTAAGGCATTTGATTCATTCACTTCATTCTGATATCAGAGCACAGGAAACGTGCTCAAAGGTTAGCAGAAGGATTTAATAAGGATGGCAAGAAATAGTCCCACATTATTTATAAAAGGAAGGCTGCACTCATGAGTATGAAGAGCTTATAATACCATGGAAAAATATTTTAAGTTACAAAGTTAAATGAGAAAGTAGAATATAAAACTGTATATTCAGTATGATCTCAACTATGTAAAACCAAGCCAAAAAAAGGCTGAAAGTTCAAAATGTTAAGTTAGTGGTTGTATTTAAACAATGTATCTACCTGGATCTTTTCTTCCTTTTATTTTTATGTCTCTTCCAAAACTTTCTCTACTGGGGAGGATCCTTTTTAAAAAAAAAAAAACCATTAGCTACTAAAAAAGGATGCCTGATTGAGGTATTGAATTCAAATTAATGAATTTAAGTGCAGCCTATAGGCAAGGATCTGGGCATGTACAAAACTATAAAACATTCCAGGCTACTCTCTAAATCCACAGTATGTTACCTGTAACATCCCAGAGGCTAGAGGGCTTTGTCTTCTCCCCTAGCCAGGTGCAAAGGGTCACCAGATCCTGCCTGATGAAAAACTGCTGAATTAAACAGAAACGTCATGGATTTACAAAAAGGAACAGAAATACCCACACTTGGCAAAAACCGATTTATAGTACAGGAGTAGCTCTTTTTTTTTTTTCAGGAGTAGCTCTTTAATACTATGATTAAATAAGGCAATGGCTATTTTCTCCTATCTCCTGTGTGGATAGCAAGTTTCAAAAAGCTATCACCACAAGAATTGTAGAAAGCTAATCCTGGCTTAGAAACAGAAGTAAAACAGCCCTGTGACAACAATGGACTAAGAAAAGTCAAAATTTAGAAAATTATAAAAAAAACTGCTTTCTATAAAAATGATTGCCTTTTAAACATCTGTTTACTGTATATACTTTAAGGTTCCCACTATCACCCCCCCACCGTCAAAAAAAAAGGGTCAAAACCTCTAAACACTTTCTACCAAAGGACCACTGGTTTGTTCATTCAATTAACACAGAGGGAAGGCTCATAATGTGTGAGGCACTCGGGTCTCAAAGAGCAGACAGATTTTCCCCTGCCCCAAGGACATTTTCGTCTCTCAGAGCAGAAGTGGGCACATCACCAACCACAACACAACAATGAAAAGCAGGCACCACTGCTTCCTTACAACTCAAGAATAAGCTACAATTCTCGCTGTAATTACTTCCACCAAAGTCCTTACACAAAAACTTCCCTGACTCACTAGGAAGCAAAGATGCAACTACTTTTCCTTGATAGATATTTATACAAGAGGCAGGCATAATTATTACATTTTGTGATATTTGCCTTTAAACATCACAATGTCTAGTAGTGAGGTCAGTTAACTTTGTTTTAAGCAATGGAGCATTTTCACTCCAAGAATGAGACACCTTTAAGCCGAGAAAAAGTGACCAGTCCTAGCTCTAGATCAAGACTTGTGAGGACCGTCAAAAGCTGAGACCCAGGAGTGTAACTTTCAATTAAAAATCTTCAGTCTCCCCTGCCATCCGCTGGGTTTCAATATGCTCCTGTGTCAGCCACACCAGGTCCTTCTGCACACTGGGGTGGTCTTCCAGATCTTCATGGAGGGATCGTGCAATGTCCAGTCTCCTGTAATCCTCAGGCTTGACTAGGCTTCTCACAACCTGGAGGCACCGCTCTTTCAGGGTGTACACTGGCAGTGTGATGTTGGCAAAAATAGGCTGCCCATCAACATTGAGAGACGGCACAAATAGCTCAGTTTGGTTAACTAGAAGCCCATCAGATGTCCCAGCATCTCGGAAGAGCCAAAGGTGACTGTAGCTGTGGATGCGGCGGCCCGTGCCGGGGGTGGGGGGCAGCGTCGGGTAGGGTTGCGGCTCGCCATTGAAGTTGAGCCACACGGGCAGCACCACGCGCGGGCTGCGGTTGCAGAAGATGACCTGGGACGGCTCGTGCGTGTTCACGGAGCGCAGCACCGGCCGCAGCCGCCCGGCCTCCATCTCCCACTCGGCGCCGGGTGCCTCTGCACTCGCCTCCTCAGCGCCGGCCTCAGACTCTTCCTCATCCCCCGCCTTCTGGGGCATTACCCGCAAGTATTGTTCTTAACAGGGTTATTACCATGGGCTCCTATGAACTGCACATGACTTACCCTTTCTGAGGATGGCACCCCAAACCTTTATCTCTGTAGGGAGGCATGGTAGAAATCATAGCAAATGTGAAATCACAGGTCGACTTCTAAGACCCGTGAGAGTGGGGTCCATCCAACCTTCCTCTTAAGACTATTGTTATATGCAGATTCATGAACAGCTCAGAGGCCCAACCCTCTTGACAAAGACCTCCTAAATAGTTCAGAGACTTCATGCCCTGAGACAGATATCTGGAATCACTTCAGAGACTGCTCATCCTAGACTCCCACTTGAAACAGCTCTAATGGATCACACCTGAGGACACAGACCCCAACCAGCTCAGAAATTCCAACTGTAGGCTCAGAAAAATTAGGATCCCTAAGACAAACAGCATTACTCACAGCCAGTTCTACAGGGTTAAATTGTAACCTCTGTGGTTGCTGAATGACAGTGAATCCGGAAGGAATTCAGGATGAAAAACAGGATGAAGCACTCTGTGCTTTGGACAAGCTGGCCTTTATTTAGTTACACGCCTACCTCAGGAAAAGGTTCAGTGACCCCAGATTCTTGCATCTTCCCACACACAGAAAAGCATGAAAATGATTTACTTGTGATATCTGATCTCTGTGTTTTACAGTAATCTTTTACCAATATGCACGCTTGACTGCATGTATTTCATAGCCAAAAATCATATTGACTTCTCTGCTACCTCCTCAGAGCAGTTTCCTCAGAGCTGACAGAGTAACTGTGTCCCAGGCTATAGTCCCCAGAAGACCCAGAATTCAACTCAAACTCACAACTCTTCTGTTGTATGCTTTTCTTTAAGTGGACACTACTCTAGCTAACAGCACCCCATTAGCTCTGAGGCTTCACACTTCTCCCCCACTGCCCACAGGCTGCACCCTGGGACACAGAGCCCCAAATCTTCACCTCTGGGCTTCTGTGTGGGCAGTGGCAGTGGGTTTCTGTTCAGTCAACCCCAAGAGAGAGAGGCATCCAGTCTTGAAGTCCCTGCAATCTGCATTCACCAGCATGTCATCCTGAGGAATGCAAGTTCATTCCAGGGGTGGGGTGTGCCTTAGAGCTGAGGGGTTCTCAGGTTGATTTCCCATGTCTGGGTCCTGAGAATGGACCTAACACACTCTGGTCACCTCTGGTCATGGTGACTTTGTATCCTGCCCAGCGGGAGGTTTAGAGTGAATCCCAGATCCACAGAACAAGCCCTGGGGACCTTGTCCTCTCTGTCATCTCTCAGCACCCACTGTGGGATCCTGAATTCTGGAGATAGGAGAGGTCTTCCCCTCACTGTGCCTATGACAACTCCCTTACATCCCTCTAATCATCTGTCATTTTCCAGAGTCCCTCTCCTGGTGACAGCTGCCACAACTCCTCTCTCTCCCCAAATCCCCACCTCTCCCCTCACCTTCCACCAGGCCTCCCCTCCCACCCAGGGGCTTCTTTACCCCCTCCCACAGCCCTACTCAGAGGGTCTGTTACATCTCATCCCATTTGTGGCCTCTCACCCAGGACTGGTGCTGCCTAATAGGATCCCCTCAGGACCCTGCCTACTCCCTGCATTCTGCAGGACACCTCTTTCCTGCCCAAACACAGGGATCTGTCATATAGTCCCTGAAAGAGCCAAACTGAAAATCTCTTCAGCATCCACAGAAAATCCAGGCTCAGACCATGAGTCCAGAGCACTTCCCTCAGGGATGGGGGGAAAGGGAGAGGGTCTCTGAGAGAAAGAGCTCGACTGAAGGTCCCGCAGGGGTGACAGGGTTTTCTTCAAGGGATCTACTGAGGAAGAAGTAAGATGGCACCTTAGAAGTGCTTCAGTTCAGTCGCTCAGTCATGTCTGACACTTTGCAACTCCATGAACCGCAGCAGGCCAGGCCTCTCTGTCCATCACCAACTCCCGGAGTTTACCCAAACCAATGTCCATCAAGTCGGTGATGCCATCCAACCATCTCATCCTCTGTCGTCCCCTTCTCCTCCTGCCTTCAATCTTTCCCAGCATCAGGGTCTTTTCAAATGAGTCAGCTCTTCACATCAGGTGGCCAAAGTAATGGAGTTTCAGCTTCAACATCAGACCTTCCAATGGAGATCACCCAGGACTGATCTCCTTTAGGATGGACTGGTTGGATCTCCTTGCAGTCCAAGGGACTCTCAAGAGTCTTCTCCGACACCACAGCTCAAAACCATAATTCTTTCTTTATAGTCCAACTCTCACATCCATATGTGACCACTGGAAAAACCATAGCCTTGACTAGACGGACCTCTGTTGGCAAAGTAGTATCTCTGCTTTTTAATATGCTGTCTAGGTTGGTCATAACTTTCCTTCCAAGGAGCAAGCATCTTTTAATTTCATGGCTGCAATCACCATCTGCAGTGATTTTGGAGCCCAGAAAAATAAAGTCAGCCACTGTTTCCACTGTTTCCCCATCTATTTCCCATGAAGTGATGGGACCAGATGCCATGATCTTAGTTTTCTGAAGGTTGAGCTTTAAGCCAACTTTTTCACTCTCCTCTTTCACTTTCATCAAGAGGCTTTTTAATTCCTCTTCACTTTCTGCCACAAGGATGGTGTCATCTGCATATCTGAGGTTATTGATATTTCTCCCGGCAATCCTGATTCCAGCTTGTGCTTCCTCCAGCCCAGCATTTCTCATGATGTACTCTGCATATAAGTTAAATAAGTAGGGTGACCATATACAGCCTTGACGTACTCCTTTTCCTATTTGGTACCAGTCTGTTGTTCCATGTCCAGTTCTAACTGTTGCTTCCTGACTTGCATATAGATTTCTCAAGAGGCAGGTCAGGTGGTCTGGTATTCCCATCTCTTTAAGAATTTTCCACAGTTTATTGTGATCCACACAATCAAAGGCTTTGGCATAGTCAATAAAGCAGAAATAGATGTTTTTCTGGAACTCTCTTGCTTTTTCAATGATCCAGCAGATGTTGGCAATTTGATCTCTGGTTCCTCTGCCTTTTCTAAACCCAGCTTGAACATCTGGAAGTTCACGGTTCACATATTGCTGAAGCCTGGCTTGGAGAATTTTGAGCATTACTTTACTAGCGTGTGAGATGAGTGCAATTGTGCGGTAGTTTAAGCATTCTTTGGCATTGCCTTTCTTTGGGATTGGGATGAAAACTGACATTTTCCAGTCCTGTGGCCACTGCTGAGTTTCCAAATTTGTTCACATATTGAGTGCAGCACTTTCACAGCATCATCTTTCAGGATTTTAAATAGCTCAACTGGAATTCCATCACCTCCACTAGCTTTGTTCGTAGTGATGCTTTCTAAGGCCCACTTGGCTTCACATTCCAGGATGTCTGGCTCTAGGTGAGTGATCACACCATCGTGATTATCCGGGTCATGAAGATCTATTTTTGTACAGTTCTGTGTATTCTTGCCACCTGTTCTTAATATCTTCTGCTTCTGTTAGGTCCATACCATTTCTGTCCTTTATTGAGCCCATATTTGAATAAAATGTTCCCTTGGTATCTCTAGTTTTCTTGAAGAGATCTCTAGTCTTTCCCATTCTATTGTTTTCCTCTATTTCTTTGCATTGATCACTGAGGAAGGCTTTCTTATCTCTCCTTGCTATTCTTTGGAGCTCTGCATTCAAATGGGTATATCTTTCCTTTTCTCCTTTGCAGCTAGCCAATCTGATCACATGGACCACAGCTTTGTCTAACTCAATGAAACTAAGCCATGCCGTGTGGGGCCACCCAAGTTGGATGGGTCATGATGGAGAGGTCTGACAGAATGTGGCCCACTGGAGAAGGGAATGGCAAACCAGTATTCTTGCCTTGAGAACCTCATTAACAGTATGAAAAGGCAAAAAGATAGGACACTGAAAGATGAACTCTCCAGGTCAGTATGTTCCCAATATGCTACTGGAGATCAGTGGAGAAATAACTCCAGAAAGAATGAAGGGATGGAGCCAAAGCAAAAACAACACCCAGTTGTGGATGGGACTGGTGATAGAAGCAAGGTTCGATGCTGTAAAGAGCAATATTGCATAGGAACCTGGAATGTTAGGTCCATGAATCAAGGCAAATTGGAAGTGGTCAAACAGGAGATGGCAAGAGTGAACATCGACATTCTAGGAATCAGCGAACTAAGTTGGACTGGAATGGGTGAATTTAATTCAGATGACCATTATATCTACTACTGTGGGCAGAAATCCCTTAGAAGAAATGGAGTAGCCATTATAGTCAACAAAAGAGTCTGAAATTCAATACTTGATGCAATCTCAAAAACGACAGAATGATCTCTGTTCATTTCCAAGGCAAACCATTCAATATCACGGTAATCCAAATCTATGCCCCGACCAGTAACACTGAAGAAGCTGAAGTTGAACAGTTCTATGAAGACCTACAAGACCTTCTAGAACTAACACCCAAAAAAGATGTCCTTTTCATTACAGGGGACTGGAATGCAAAAGTAGGAAGTCAAGAACACCTGGAGTAACAGGCAAATTTGGCCTTGGAGTATGGTAGAATGAAGCAGGGCAAAGTTTAATAGAGTTCTGCCGAGAGAATGCACTGGTCATAGCAAACACCCTCTTCCAACAACACAAGAGAAGACTCTACGCATGGACATCACCAGGTGGTCGACACCGAAATCAGATTGATTATATTCTTTGCAGCCAATGATGGAGAAGCTCTATACAGTCAGCAAAAACAAGACCAGGAGCTGACTGTGGCTCAGATCATGAACTCCTTATTGCCAAATTCAGACTGAAATTGGAGAAAGTGGAGAAAACCACTAGACTATTCAGGTATGACCTAAATCAAATCCCTTATGACTATACAGTGGAAGTGAGAAATAGATTTAAGGGACTAGATCTGATAGACAGAGAGCCTGATGAACTATGGACGGAGGTTCGTGACATTGTACAGGAGACAGTAATCAAGACCATCCCCAAGAAAAAGAAATGCAAAAAAGCAAA